AAGAAAACAACCTGTCCTCCTCATGGCATATTTGTGATACTTTTGAATTTGTCCCTCTGGGAATGAAGCTGTGGGAGAGAAGTGGGGTTCAAGTAATTATATGCAGCAGGTACTACGAAGTGATGGCCTTAGCACCCTGAGGTTAGGGTAGGAAGGTTGACATGTGATGCCATGTTTTTTGGTGACTTGAAGAGAAAACCTGGGGGACTACAAAAGTATTGCCAGCCAAAACCAGTGTCAAATCACTCACATTACCTTTATGGCCAACATCTCTCCCAGCCTATGTTTGTGAAACCCACTGTATTGACGAGAGGCAGTGTGGCCTACATGTCAGGCTTAGAGCTCAGGTATCATCAATGTGTTCATCTTCCGTTATTGTTGATGGAAGGCACAGTATCAATAGGAATATAAGGAGAGAGTGATTTTGATGGGACCTAGGCCTGGCATGTTCTCTGATGGGGGAGTAGAGGGAGCAGATGGATGGGGAGTATGACGAATATAAAATCCTAGTAGAGAAGCTGACCGTGGACTGAACTGTCCCTATTATGACAGGATATGAACTTTGAAGACTTGGCCATTGCCTTCTCTCAGGAGGAGTGGAATCTTCTTGATGAGGATCAGAGACTTCTGTACTGCGAAGAGATGCTGGAAGTTTTTGCACTTGTATCATCTGTAGGTAAGACCTTCACATCTCTGCTAGTATCCTAAAGTGATGTCCTCTCTTCCTTAATTCTCCTTGTAGCTTTCTCTCTCCCACAGCCAGACCATGGGTTCTGCTAATTTCCCCCACTGTCTTGTCAAATGTGCTCTGGCTGCCAGTGCTGAGCTGTTGGAGAGCCCTGAGCAATGGACTCTATGAACATTCCTAACACAAATTGCTTCAGAAAGTGCAGGAAGTGTCTGGGAGTCAGGGGTCTTATAGAGAGCCTAATGGTTCCCACCTGCTCTTCTTCTCCCTGAGAAGGTGACTATATCTAGACCCATGGCTTCCATTTCTACCCCTTCCTCTAGCTAAAGTTTCTTTGTGACTATTTGTGCCTGGTTATGTTCTTCACTTACATGAACCATGGCTGTTCCTGTAAGACCCTCCTTCAATTGTTGTTTGTAATCTTCCCTTCCCTGAATACTATTGGTAAACCAAATAGTTCTGGGCCAGTGCAGGCTGCTCACCTCTGTTGTCTTTCATTAATACTCAGAATATTTACTTTTTATGTACTTATACAGTAGAAGGTACAGGGAGAACCCTGATTTGTTCCACAGGGTGAACTTGCAAGATGTTCTCAGAGGAGGCCTGGTTCTGTTGAGTGCCAGTTGGGGGAAGGTATGACATAAGGGCTGTGTACAGATGATAATCGGGAACCTGCTCACTTCCAACAGTCTTTAGGTGAAAGTGCCATTGGCAACACCTCATTTCTACCTTTTTTTTTGCCGTACTTGACACTTTGCTGACTTGTCATTTCCTCTATGGCTTACTGGCTTTGACTAACTGCATCTTTGTGGTCTTTTTGCATCACCTGATCCTCTGCACTGCTCTTTCTGTAGTATTCTCAGACATTGACCTGGACATGTCTTATGAGGTGCACATACATGCATTAGTGCCCCTCGAACACTGGTTACACATTTGTGGAATTTTACTTGGAATGAGACATAACCAACCTCCTACACAGCTTGCCCATATAACCAGCTGACAAGCCATGCTGAGCACTGTTAGTAGAAGAATGAGCTGGAGATCCTGCTTCTCTTCCATCGTAGCGCTTCCCAGATAGTGCTTGCCATCTTTGTGTCACATTTCTGGTGAGGTCTTTCCTGTTTTGTGATATTCAGAAGCCCAAAGCTTCACAGCAGCCTCTTATTAATCCTTCCAGCGTATCTCTTATTTTTAGACAATTGCATGGGACCAACATATTATGTGTAACACCATTTTGGAATGTTACTTCCCCCTGTCACTACAGTCAACATTCAGTTCTTCACCATTTCTCTGTTTTCAGGTTGTTGGCATAAAATGGATGAGGAGGAGGTGCCTCCTGAGCAGAGTGTATCTGTAGGAGAGTCACAGGTCGGGGTTTCTAAGACAGCTCCAGCAACCCAGAAGACCTACCTGTGTAAGTGGTGCTTCTCAGTTTTAAAACATATTTTGCACCTGACAGAGTTACAAGCAGCATACTGTGAGCAGAAAGCCTTCTTCAGTGAAGCATCTGTAAAAGACTTCTTTTTAAGTGCAAACTGTCACCAGCAGCAAAGAAATGCCAGTGGAGAGAAGCCCTGGAAAGAAGATATGGACAGGGCCTCGTTTGTGTCCAGGTGCAGCTTCTATTTAACATGGGTGCCTTCAACCAGTAGGGAGGTTGGCAAAGACCTGCCAGCCATCTCAGATATTCTCCAACACCAGGCTACAGTTAGCACTGAGGAGCCACACAATAGCAGTGAGATTTCCCATGAATTTCTTGGTGGAAAAAGTCATCACCAATGTGTTGAATGTGAAAAAGCTGCCAACATCTACCAGAAGGTTGTTCAGCATCTGGGTGTCTGCTCTGGAGAAGTGAATTATGAGTGTAACAAATGTGGGCAAGGTTTTAGACAAATGTTTAACCTCATTCAACATAAGGGAGTTCACAATGGACAAAAGCCCTATGAGTGTAGTGATTGTTGGAAGTTCTTCAGAAATAAGTCTAACCTCATTCAACACCAAAGAGTTCACACTGGAGAAAAGCCATATGAGTGTAGTGATTGTGGGAAGATCTTCAGCCAAAGTTCTACGCTCAGTCAACACAAAAGAGTTCACACTGGAGAAAAGTCTTATGAGTGTACTTACTGTGGAAAGGCCTTCCGTGAAAAGTCTCACCTCATTAAACACTACAAAGTTCACACTGGGGAAAAGCCCTATGAGTGTACTTACTGTGGAAAGGCCTTTCGTGAAAGGTCTCACCTCATTAAACACTGCAGAGTTCACACTGGAGAAAAGCCCTATGAGTGTAGTGCCTGTGGGAAGTCCTTCCGTCAAAGATCTACCCTCACTAAACACCACAGAGTTCACACTGGAGAAAAGCCCTATGTGTGTAGTGACTGTGGGAAGTCCTTCCGTCAAAGATCTACCCTCACGAAACACCTCAGAGTTCACACTGGAGAAAAGCCCTATGAGTGTAGTGACTGTAGGAAGTCTTTCAATCAAAGGTCTCACCTCATTAAACACTGCCGAGTTCACACTAGAGAAAAGCCCTATGAGTGTAGTGAATGTGGAAAATCTTTCAGCCGCAAACCTAGCATAGTTAGACACCTGAGAGTTCATTCTGGAGAAAAGCCTTAAATGTGCCAGGAGTGTTTTATTTTTGTCACTCAGAATAGCAGTACTGAAAGAGACTCTTTAACACCCATTTACCAAAATATAAACCTCTTTTAATGAAAAATACCCTCTGCTAGGTTACCCATAATTTTTAGGTACAAGGTACAAGTGAGGCTTTAAGGAGCTTCATTATACTTGTAACCTACCCAGGCCTACTACCCGATTGATGTCACTGTGTGTACTTGTGGCTGAAGTTATTTCACCTCTACCACCTGGCTCACTTATGCAGTGTGCATCAGTCACAACCCCTGTTTGCTCAGGGAAAATGAATTATGTCTTATCACTTCTAATGATGAAATGAAGAAACTATCTCTTGGCAGGATCTGCATTCCATTCTCTGACTAGGGAATTGACCAGACCCAGAGTTCATCCAGAACACCAATCCTCAGCTAACAAATGCTAGCTCTTTCAGGGACATTGTGGTTCTCACATCATGCTGTGATGAATTGTTTCAGGTTCTAATTCACAAACCTGCAAACTGCTTGCTGTATACTAGTCTGGTTTATGATCCTTTAGTAAAGGTGTTTTTTTCTTTTGTAACTTAAATTTTATGATTCTGTTCACTCCCTGGGGTGATTTGAAAGCACAATTGTAAACACAGAGCATGTAGATATTATGGGGATCCCAAACTTTCTGTGCTTTGGAAGGCACAACATGATGACAGAAAATCACTTGGTCCAATGTTGGCCTATTCTGCATTGCTGCCCATGGCCTTGAAAGAAAGAACTGCATGACTGTGGTTCTAAGTTGCAGTCTGGTACCTCGATTGTTGGGGAGGTCAGTGGTCACCCAGAAGAGAAGGCCTTTGCTGTGCTTCTGTGAACAATGTGAATTATATTATCTGTGCACAGTATGTATTACATAAGTCTCAGCAATGTTAAGGGGAAGTCCTCTCCATGTACTGCAAAGGAGCCATGTAGGAAATTTCTTTGGCTGGTGTCATTTGTTGTAAGACTCTGAGGTGAAACTAATATTGGTACAGAAACTCTATTTTCATAGTGATGGGAGAGACTGTAACAAATCAGATGAAAAATGCCTCTTCTGAATGCAAATCCACAAATGATCCAGGGCCTGTGGCTTGTGTGATCTTTGTGTAAAGACATTCTCAGGACCTCCATAACTGTTTCCTGTAGCTGAAGTCATTGACAGAGAAAATGATCCAACGGTTCTGTAGATTCCCCTGGCCTCTGTAGGATGTTCACCTCAAGGTTTTCTCAACAGGCAAGAACTCCAAGCCAGAGAAAGGATAGTCCTGTAATCAGTCCCAGGATGTGTCTTAGTGACCAGTCAGCATTCCTGTTGGTTCCAAGGGCAATAGTCTTCGCTGCTGCCAATATTTGCTGCCACTGAGGCAAGGCTGTTCCTCCCAGGAAATGAGAACTGACATGCAACTAAGGACACTTTTCTAACTGTACTATTTGGTGAGCCTTGACATAGGGATAAATCTGTGAAACCATCTCATGTGAAATAAATTTATCTGTCATTCTTAAACAGGGTGGGACTTTTTTTTTTTTTACAGGGGGTCTATTTTCTTGATTTTTAAAAAATATATTGTTATTGATTTCAGAGAGGGAGAAGGAGAGAGGGATAGAAACATCAATGTGGAGAGAACTCATAACCTGGGCATGTGCCATGACCGGGAATCGAACCGTGACCTCATGGTTCATAGGTTGACACTCTTTATTCATATAAAGAAAACGCTTATGAAACCCCATGAATCCTATTCTAGTCTTCCATCATTACCTGCCATCATGGTGGTTCTTGTATCTATCCTCAGTTACATTAATGGGTTATTTAACTTAAAATCCCAGACATGTCTGGTCATGCCCTGATAGCTCAGGTGGTCAGAGCATCATCTCAAGAATGCCAAGATTGCAGGTCCCATCTCTGGTCGGGGCACATGCAAAAATCAACCAAGTAATGTATAAAATTATGTTAACAACAAATTGATCTTTCACTCTCCCCATTTTTCTTTCTCTAAAATCAATATCTTTGTTTTATTCACCCAGTCAGTCCACACACATGTGAACACCAGCGTAGCCCAAGGACCACATGGTGACAGTAGCCAGGGTTCTCATGAGGGCAGAGCATGAAATGACCAAGAGAACAGGAGGGGAGGTGCCTCTGCTGTCGATGTAGCAGGTGGGGGACCAAGGCCGAGCTGCACTAACACCCATAGGGGATGATGGCGTCAGTGTTCTTCTTGGAACTAACACCAAAGCAGCCAGGAGAAGCTCTGGGCTTGGACAAGCCCCTTGTGGTCTCTGCACCTTCCATGCAGGTGATTGAGGAGCCCGGATTCCTCTCCGGTGTCAGGGCTGGGAGCAACAGTGGCAGCTGGGCAGGTGGGAGTGGGCAGGAAAAATCCCAGAGCAGTTTCCAGGGGGAGTTGGTGCTGGGGCCATGTATGTGGCTCTGAGGCCCTCTCTAGTCCAAGTCCAGGCTGGTGGCCATTCTTACTTTTGGGAAAATGGAACCAGCTGTGCTGTAGGAGTTCCTGGGGGGTTGTGACCTGGGAATCAATATGTGCTTCACAAAAACTTGTGACCCAGGTAGTCACAACCTAGTCCACTGTAGTGAGTGGTCTGACCATTGACTTCCCCCGGGAGGGGAGGAGCAGTGTCTGCATAGGCTGAGTATCTGTCCAGCAGGAGGGGTTGCTGGCTACTGAGCCACCTGGTCCTCTGGTGGGTTTGAAGTGTCTTGAAGTTTAGCAACTAAAGGAAGTTATAGATATTTATCAATCTAATAAGAGAAAATGGCTCTGAATTTTTCTTAATAGTAAACGTCCACCCAGTGTGGGTCAATGGTAGGAGTGTCAGCCCACACACCTGAAAAGTGTCGAATTAGATTTCAGGTCAAGGGCATGTAACCGGGTTGCAGTTTCGATCCTCAGCTCCCACTGGGGCTCATGTGGGAGGCATCCAGTTGAGGTGTCTCTCTCACATTGATCTCTCTCTCTCTCCACCTTTCCACTCTCTCTAAAAATCATGGAAAAATATCCTCAGGTGAGAATTAACAAGAAAAAAAAGAAGCAGAAGCCACCTTGCTGCCCTGAAGTGGGGCCTCTGCCTGCTCGGCCCACCTCTCCTCACTCATTCCTGCCTTTGCCTGGGGTGTTCCCACTGCTGTGGGGCACACTGTCCTTCTCCCAGGGCTGGCCAGGGCTCTTCTGTCTCCTCCACCCAGAGGTCTCCCCAGCCTGCTTTTCTCCATCCCTCAGGCACCTGGCCCACTGCAACTGAACCTCCTTCTGTATCTCGGAGTAGCCCCCTGATCTTTGGGCCCTCAAATCAGTTCACCTTTGGAAAGTCCTGCTTCCACCCAGCCCACAGGCATCCCTGAGCCCTACTGGCATTGTTTGAGTCTCTGTTTTTTACATTTGGGGGGTAATTTTCACTTTGATTTGATTAAAAATTAATCCACCCCTCCCCCAGCTCAGGAGGGACCACTGATTCTCCAGGAAATGTGCTGTGTTTTTTTCAATGCTGAGAACATTCTGCAATACAAGCGATTCTGAAAAGCGAGGCTTGGGCTCAACATGATGCCACATTGGGCGGATGCATTGTAGGTGGTATCCTCCCTCCCCAAGTTGGGCCTGTAGAAAGCAGACCCCCGCTCCTGTAGTGGGGTGATGGACCCTGGACTGGGCCAATCTAAGTGGAAGATATAAGAGTGTAATTCATACTATTCTTTCAACCTTCTTGTATGCTTCAAATTTCCACATAGAAAGTTACAGTTTAATTTACATATTCCCTATCAATAACACATATGTCCTCATAATTACCATAAATTGGAAATAGCATAATAGAGCAATAAAATTATGTGCAATCATATATACCTGTAGACATTAAAAATAAATTTTAAGAATTCAAATAAGATATTAAAGCATTACAAGTAAATAATCAAATATCTGACATGTTTCATAGTTGGCTTACCTGATTTTTGGCTATGTAAACAAAAACAAGGAAACTAATATTAAATAATCCTTACTCAAATATCAATAGTCTGTGTTTAACCAGAAAAAAAATCATGTCTTCAGAGTTAAGTTTTTATTTTTATTTTTTGGTTAATCCTCATGGAAGGATAATTTTTCATTGATTTTTCAGAGAAAATGGAATGGAGGGGGAGAGACAAAAACATTGATGTGAGAGAGACACATTGATTAGTTGCCTCCCACATGCATCCCAACTGAAGCCAGGGATAGAGCTTGAAACCCAGGTACGTGCTGTTGACTGGAATTGAACCTGAGATCCTTCAGTCAGTGGGTGAATGCTCTAACCACTGAGCAACAAGCTAGAGCCAGAGTTAAATGTTTTGGCCATCAGACTCCACCTTCAAAACAGAGCTTACACACTTTCGAGTATGGAAAATGCCTGAGTCGTTCACTTATCTGTAAGGGGTCGAATTAAAGGTAGCTCTCCATAGTCTCAGACTTTTCAAGCTGTACTTGGTTACTCTCTTCCCAAATTTTCCCCATTCCCACATAGAAGACAGTTAAGTTCAGATCCTCCCATGAGGAGTTAGTAAAACTCACTTTTGCTTTACTTCTACTTGAAATAATGTGATATTTATAATAAACCTGAAGTTTATGGTATCCCTAACCACAATGTAAGACTTCTGTTTCACATGACAACTCACTAAACTCACTAAAATTTCATTGTTTTTGTTTTATTCCTAACTGTTCTTTCTAACAATCCTGACTAACCAGACGCTGAGAAGTTTGTTCAAATACTATATTTAAAAAGCTGCTTTTCGATTATTCACAGTCCACTTCTTGGTGGTAAAAGAGGAATGTGTACTCTTGGTGTAACCAAGGCTAAGCTTTGAGAAGTTTTCTTTGCCAAAAGATGTCCCAACTTGTACATCTGATTCCATGTTATCTTCCAAGTCCAACAATATTAATAGTTGCAGATAAGGCTCAGTATGTTATTCCTAGAATTAGTACAATGGGGAAATGATCACTTTTAGGAGTCAGGTACATTTTTTTCCAAGAATGGCAAACTGTAAAGAGCTCCTGGAAGGTGGCTCAGCAGAGCCCATGTCAAAGATAGCCTTGAAACATAATTTATTGGTGATTTATCACTAAAGTACAACCCTTTGGGACATATTACACAAATATCCAGGATGCTACTTTAGATCTTTGGTTTTGGGACAGTTCCCTGTTGCATACCACATTAGTTCTTCTAATATATCTATTGTGTAGTCTATAAAAGCTATTGGCTGTTATATAGTTTTCTTTTAGGATAAGCTAGTCATAATTTAGTGATTGATAACTAATCATAATCCAAAGATTACCATCAATTATATTTACTTTTTCGGTGGTAACTCTGCAGATCTGAACTGCATTTCCACCATTTACATTTCTTTAGGCAACAAATAAAAATAAATACTTCCATAGCTGTGTTGCTTTCCTTTTTATGATGTTATATTTCTGATACAGAAAGCATTTAACAAACATATACTAACCATGTAGAATAAACAATGATCATATCTTACCATCTTTCTTCATATTTTCACTTTTTAAGAAAGAAAGAAATGCCCTGACAAGAAGTTTGCTTGTTGGATCCCCAGTTGGGGCCCATAAAGGAGGCAGCCAATAGATGTTTCTCACATAGATGTTTCTCTCTCTCTCCCTCTCTCTCTCTCTCTCTCAAATCAATAAACATATCTTTGGGTGAGGATTTTTTTAAAGAAAGAATAAGTAAATAGCAGTAATAAAGAAATAATACAATACAATAATAGTCTATATCATTCCTCAGTTTCATTTCTCTTATTACTTTTCCATTATGAATTTTCTAATCATTCTCCCAATTTAGTTTTTAATCATTTATTATATATGCATATATCAATCAACCATATGTAGTATTATTTCATCTTTCTATATTTATATACATGTATCATATTTTATGTAATTTTTGGTTCATTTTATCTTGTTCTTTATTGATTTTAACTGCAGTGTAATATTGATTCATATAAGTATTTCGGAATTATGTTTGTATTCCTTTATTCATGAAAATGTACCATATTTTGTTGATTTTAAGATGTGTAATATATCACATTTAAGATCTCTGAAATCCAGATAGTATGCTAATAATGATGAGCATGATCTTCGACTTCTCTGGGGAGGACAAAGGTCAGTAAACTGTTTTTAACCCTCACCCTAGGATACTTTTTCATTGATTTTTAGAGAGAGTGGAAGAGAGAGGGAAAGACAGAGAGAAATATCGATGTGAGAGAAACACATCATTGGTTGCCTCCTGCACATGCCCTGACCAGGGCCCGGGCCGGGGAGGAGCCTGCAACCAAGGTAAGTGCCCTTGACTGGAATGGAACACAGGACCCTTTGGTCCGCAGGCTGATGCTCTATCCACTGAGCCAAACCGGCAAGGGTAAACTTCTTATATAAAGGGTTTTATTGTAAATAGATTTGGCTCTATAAATAATATCATCACAGCCATAACTACTCAACTCTGTCA